ACTTAAGTCTAATTTTTAAAATAATTTTAAGATACATTAATATATATAGAAAATGTTTATAAATATGAGTAATCATGATCACTTTTATTAATATAACTAATAATGAACTTGTTTGCAAAATCAGAAAAGTAATATTCCAAAATTTCATGCAACCCTGTGGATTGTGAGGCCCTAAATTATAGATTTTTTAGCTTATGCCTAAACTCAATTCTGATTAAGCAGCAAGGAGGATGGATTCAAGTTACAGAGGCACTGTTGGAAGACCAAAAAGAATAGGTTACGAATATAATCATCATTTAATGACCCCATAATCCCTTGCAGGGTAGAGTCTGGACAACTGCATGGAGCTAGCAGAGTGTTTTAATGGCCGGATGCTCTTCCTGTCACCAATGCAGAGTTTTGTTCAGCAGATATATTCTCAAGTGTGGCCAGAGAGAGAAATATCTGCCTCTACCTAGGATCGAACTCACAGCCTCCTGATTGTAAGGTGAGAGCTCTGTCTCTAGGCCATTGCACCGCTCCAGGTTCAGAATATAATATTATGGAGAAAATCTATGGTTTCTTAGGAATCAAAAACAACTTGATGACACATAATCAATCAATCAAAATAACTAACCCCTTTAATATTGAGATATTATAAGACTTGAGTTTAGTCTCCTGATCACATTTTTGTCCTTCTTTGAACTTTCTCCAATTTATCTAAATCTTTCTTAAAAATTGTGGTGCCCAGATGAAGTTTGACCAAAGTAGACTAATGTGGAATTATACTTTAATGTGGAAATTATATTTCTGTTAATATAGTACAGTTGTCTCTTCCCAATACTAAAAGAATTATTCTTAGTTGTATCACCCTTCTTCTTAAAAATGGAATTAAATTCAGAACTCTTCCTGGCATGAAAGGCATGGTAGAACTTGAAGTAAATTCTTTGTTGATTTCCTGTGAAAGGGTCTGACTAGCATCTTTTCAATTGCTTCTTCTAAGTTGCTCATTATTTTATTTTTTTCAAAAGACAAGGATAGCCCTTGTAGCTTGACTCACAGCCTCTGGATGGGGAGAACAACAAGATGCTGGATTCTTGCCAGTGTTAACTGTCACTCAATTCACCTTCTATAAATGAAGGCAAGTATAGGCTTCATCTTATTTTTAGAGGGAGATGGAAGGATGACCAAAAGCACCGATAATAACTGCATCAAAGTCAGCTGTTTGTTCAGTGTTGGTAGAAAGGACAGTAAGATCTTCTTAACACATTTCCTGAATAACAGGATCTCTATCCATGCAGCACACTACACTTTCCTTGTCAATCTTCCCCACATTTTTTTCACTCACCATTAAATCTGTAGTAACCACCCTAGCCTGTCCTGAGTAACTAGCCCATCACTCTGCCTCTGCATTTCCAAATACTAGTTTCTCTTCCTTTGGCCTGTGAAAGCGGACCCAAAACAAAAAGCAAGCCACAAGGAAAGACTGAATGTGCAAGGCATGTGGAATAAACACATCACAGTGAAGATGCCTTTCAAACTGTCTTCTCTGTTACACACACCCTTTCAAATACTGCTTATATCAAAGAGAATGACAGGGAAGGTTGGCTGCCTGCCCAGGAAGGCCCAGAGTGAATGAAGACCATTGGGGTCTTGCACGCGGAGAACTTACAGGGCCAGCAGCCAGTAGCACTAAATCTTCAAGGGGAAGATCTAAAATGCTAAGCACGTCAAATTGGGCCATTGCTGCTGCTGATACAGTTAGAAGTCTCCACAAGGGAAATGACAACGAGGTCAGAGAAGGTGAACCAAAATAAATAAATAAATAAATAAAACTGAGGGCAGCTGGAAAAGACCAGACACACTTAGAATTGCCAAAGATCCCCCAGCAGAAGTAGACCATGTGTAGTGCAATAGTCAGGGCCGGCTGGCTGCAGAGAGAAACAAAATAGGTTAGTATAACTTAAAATACAGAATAATATAGTTGAAAAGGACCTTTGAGGTCTTCTAGTCCAACAACTTGTTCAAGCAGAGGACTCTATACCATATGAGACAAATGGCTGTCCACTCTCTTCTTGAAAACCTCCAGTGATGGGGTTCTGGTTTGTAGCGCTTCGGGGCAGGCAGGAATCCGTGATCATGCGTGGTTTCTGCCTGTGCTCGCCGCTGGAGTGCTCTGAGCCACCCAGCTTCGTGGCTAAGCCACCCCGTAGAGGTTGGTGAAGATAGGGGAGATCTGGCAAGGTCGAGAGGAATCGCACCTCTCCCCCCCAGCCGGCTAAACTCTCTTTTCCGAAGGTGGTAAGAGTGGCGGTCAGAAATGGCCACCTCAAAGAAGCACTCAGCCGGAAAAGAAAGTGCAGGAGGAAGTTAAGAAGTGAAAGTTTTTGGCTGACCGGGACAAAAGCAACAACTAAGGTACCCTAGAATTTAAATTTTGTAAAAGATACATCGCTCCCTAAGAAGACTTGGAAGCGGCGAATAAAAGTTAAAAGGGAAAGGTTTTTTTTCTTCACTCTCCTTCCTTACGTTGACAGCAAACTTATGAGGAATCGGAAAAACCCGCTTTGGCATTAAGAGGTATTTAAACTGGATAATTAAATGTCAAGGGGGACAATAAGGATTTCTGAACATTAAAAAAAAAATTTCTTCTTGCTGTAAGTGGAAAGGGAGAGGAAAAGAATAAAAATAAGATTTGGAAGGAGGAGACTGCCTGGAATTTACAAGAATCTGATTAAATTCTAACAAGACTTCTAAAAGATACATCTTAACTGGAACTTTGTAACTAAATAGCCCCAGGAAGAGAAAGTTAAAAAAGAAGAAAGTGCTAAAAGAAACAGTTTGTGTGTATTTGGATTGCTTGGTGACTTTGGGACTCTTGGAAATTATATCTAAATGATTAAAAACACTTGGGTGGTTGTTTGAAAAAAAAAATTTTTTACAATGGCATCGCTTGTGGATGAATTGAAAATGGAATTCAAAAAATATAAAGAAGAGGAACAAGAAGGGAAGGGCTCTTTTGGCTCTGTTTTTCACTTCTTAGAAATGGTGATTTGTACCTATGAGAAACTGACTGCGCAACAAGAAGGTTGGGACAAAGATGAAGCCATCTTTGATGAACAAGTAACTTCAATTAGGGAAGAAGGGGGAAAGGGGGGAAAGAGAATGGAGACTTTAAGACCCCAAAAAGCAACCAAAAAAGGGAAAAATAAGGTGCAAAGTGGATATAAGGCTAGAAAGCAACAGAAAAAAGGAACACAGAAGAGGGAAATGGAGGTGGAGAGACAAGGGGGTAAAAAGGGCAGAGAGAAAAAGCAAGGGAGGAAGGAAAGGAAGAGAAGCTACAAAGGTGTGAAACAAAATGTAAAGAAACAGGATTTATTTAGAGATAATGGGTAAAAATCTAACTGAAAAGGTGATTCTGCAAAGGTACATAAGATTGTATTGTTATATTTGTATTAGAAATTATGTTAGAAGATTGGAAATAACATAAGACTAAAAAGTGGGATAAAATACTCAGTGTAACTCAGTGAAACTTTTATGAACAAAATTAATGAAATGAAATAAATGAGAGAATTGAATTAGGAAGGAATGGGAACACCTCAATGATATAATGTTTTAAAATAAGCAACTATGGAAAGTTTATAAGTGTTCCCACAGAAGTATGATACTTATATGAAAAGTAATGTGTAAAATGTTTAAGATTTAAATGAATATTAATATTAACAATAGAGTTGAATTGACATGGATTTGTGGTTTTAATTATATATTTACAATTTTTACTCTTTTTAAAATATAGTGTGTAATTTTAGAATGTACTAAGCAGAATCCGAATGGAAGTTATGTATTATATTAAGTGTTATAAATTTAGGGGAAAGATATAAAGGCGTCATACTCCAATCAGTGATTACAGGAGAAATTTTGTTTAATGAGAAAAGATAATAGACAACTGGAAACAGGACAGACAAAGAATATAAGTATAATGATCTGAACTGAGATGAGATAAATAAAATAAAACTAAGAAAGTTAACAGAGGGGAGAAGCTATATAGAAAATGTAGAATGGTAACAAGATATGGAATGGTATATAAAATGAACATGAATTTGAATTTGTGTCTGTACGAAAAGATGTAACCTGGGATCAAGCTGCTTTCAAAAAAGATGTTTTACGTTTTTATGTTTTATGTGTTGTTTGTTTATGTTTGTTTTTAAAAATCAATAAAAAAAATTCCAAAAAAGAAAAAGAAAAAGAAAACCTCCAGTGATGAAGCAACTTCTAAAGGCAAATCATTCCACTGATTGTTCTCGCCATCAGGAAATTTTTCTTTAGTTGGATCTCTTTTTCTAGGTTGGATCTCTCTTTAGTAAGCTACCATCTGTTGCTTCTTGTCCTGCCTCCAGGTGCTTTGGAGAATAGGTTGACTCTCTCTTCTTTGTGGCAGCCCCTCAAATCACCCCTAGTCCTTCTCTTCATTAGACTAGGCAGACCCAGTTCCTGCAACTGTTTCTGTTTTAGCCTCCAGTCCCCTGATCATCTTTGTTGTTCTTCTCTGCACTCTTTCTAGAGTCATCTTTTTTTGTTTTGTGGTGAACAAAACTGGATGTAGTGTGAGTCTTACCAAGACATTACAAAGTGGTACTAATACCCCAGATGATCTAGATTCTATCCCTCTACTAATGAGGCCTAGGATTGCATTGGCTTTTTTGGCAGTTGCAGCACACTGGAGAAATAGGTGAAGGAAGCAATGTTCCAAGAGTCCACAGAGTTCCCTATCCAATTCATTTTTAAAATAATAATAATCTAGAATGAATGATGGAGATGACTTCAACCTTTTAGTGTATGGACACTTTGGAACTTGATCTTTACTCCTATTTGGTTGGAGTGGCCATGATAGGTTCTCAGCATTCCAAGCAATCCCAGAACCCCATGAAAACTGACTACTGAATTCTGATGATCAAAATATGTTTTGTACCAAACTTTGAAGTGCAGCAACCAGAGTGAAAACAAACACACATACATACCATTAGAAGCATAAATCTGCAATGCCCAGAGACAGTGGGTGAGATTCTCGTGGTGGTGAAGATTTTTTCGTGCCAGGCTGAGGGTTACATCAATCGCCTCCAGGCGCTGTGCTTTTAATCCAAATTTGTTATCTAGGAAAAAGGAATAAGGAAAATAAATATTAACTAAGAGACCTTCTATTGAAGAGACATAATAGTTGTCTTGATTATGGGGGCGGGGGGGCTTCTTTCACTGAGATATTCCACCTTCACATCTTATTCATCTTTTTTACAACTCCATCTGGAGTTTTTGTGTGTTTTGGTTCTCCTACTGACTACAGTGAAGCCAATTTGTGCAATTTATAATTTTAGAGCAAAACACTTCCAGCCAATGCATCCAAAGGTCATGCGGTTTTTTATTCCAGCATTCTAAAAATCCAACTTATTATATACACTGAAGATAACCACCTTCTTGCTACCTCCTCTTTTAAAGGACCAAGCATGGGAGCAAGTTTGAAAGTCAGCTTGATATTTCAACCTCATACATGTTTATTTAGGGATAAGCATTACTGAACTCGGTTGAACTTGGTTTGGAACAAGGGTGAGTTTGATCAAGTTCAGAGGCCAGTTTTCCTAATCAGGAATAAACAATGGGAATGTAGCTGCAAGATCTTGCTATTACTCTCAACAAATTCTGTACACTATTTATTTTATTTATTAATTTTCCATGCCATCCATCTCCCCTACAAGGTGACTCTGGGCAGCTTAAAAATTATCAAAACGGGTGAAGAATAATTAAAAGATTAAAATGAGCCAACACTGAAATATTATTAAAAACTGTGCTAAAACCACACCTACAAGAACCAAGAAATGGATGAGATCTTCTACCCCAACAGCCACCTCCAGTAGTGGACATCCCCCTCAAGGCCCCAGGCGAACAGGGAAAACCAGGTTTTGGTACCCTTCCCAAATGCCAAAAGTTAAGGGGCAGTTTTCACTTCTGGTGGAAGTTCCACTGGATGGGGCCACAACAGAAAAGGCTCTTCTATACTAATGAAACACTATGCTTATAAAACTTCTGAGAGATGCTGAAAAAGGCTGCTAAGGATTAGAAGGATGCCTGAATGCATCTATTTTAAAAAACCAACACAGGGATTTTTTTTTAAAAAAAAACTTGAATCAAGATCCCAAAGCAGTGGGCTGGCGTATTCCCCTTTATCATTTCCTGGATTATCTTGTTTCCCTGATGTTGTCACGAGTGGCAAAGAGGAAATTACAAGAGCACATGCTTTTAAATTGATTGACACTAAGTTCCAGTTTTCTTTCATGAAACAGGCAGTTCCATTCAAAACATCACAGTGGGTGAGCCTCTTTCTAGGTAATATACTACATAAGGACTGTCTGAAACCCTACATAATCATTCAAGGGCTCGGTAAGTAATTTTGTCACTTTGTTTTGTCTGTAATAAACTAGCCATTATACCTGGGGAATGTCATGCACAGTGGGTAGCTGACATCTCTTCACAATGTTTGGCCTAAGGGCAAAGCTCAAGTGGTAACAGTAACTAATCCATTAAAAACAAGTTCAGCAGCTGTATCTGGGGGGTCCCCCTTGACTCATAATTCCTCTTTCAACAGCATTTGTGGGGGCTATGGACAGAGGAACCTTTGGGCAGGCCAATCAGGTGCAACAATTCTAGCCAACCTTGCATCGGAGATATTGTGCACAGCCATTCATGTCCTTGTCACCCCAAGGTTGGTCTATTACAACTCATTCTACATGAGGCTATTTGTGAAGACCAGCCAGAAGCTTCCACTGGTATAACATGCAGTAGGCTGGGTATTTATAGGCACATCTAAATTCATCCTTGTGACACCACAAGTACAAGTGTTGCATTGGGGATGAATGGATTCTTGTATACCCGGGTCATTGGACTACAAAACCCTAGAGAGCCAACACAATCCTACCTGGTCTCTAGGCAACATACCCACAAGCAGGGGTGGGATTTAAATTGTTAACAACCAATTCTGTGGGCCTGGATTAGGTGGTAGGCGTGGCTTGGTGATCATGTGACTGGGTGGACATGGCTTGGTGGCCATGTTATTGGCTGGGCATGGCCAACTCAATATCACTCACATCGAGGCACGCATCTCCTCTCCTGGCCTCTCATGACTGTGGGGATGCTGCAACAGTTGTAAGTGTGAAAAATGGTCATAAGTCACTTTTTTCAGTGCCATTGTAACTTTGAATGGTCACTCCACACAAGCAAAGTACCAGCAAGGGAGGGGAAAATTCTCCAGAGAAGTTCCTGAGACAGGAAGTCCTGCCAAGAATTTAATAAGGGTTAAGAGAGAGGCAGTTTCTGTAAGCAACACCAGAATGTTTCCTTCCTGCCTTCCTTACAGGATTAGGCCAGTAATTTCTTCTAACAACTGGTTCTCCGAACTGCTTAGAATGTTAACAACCGGTTCTAGCAAATAGGTGCGAACTGGTAGAATCCCATCCCTCCCCACAAGGGTTCAAAAGCTGGTTCTCACTGTTTTCTATACTACTGTTCCCCTATTCTACTACAACTTCTGTTCCTCCAATATTTCTAAAGAACAGTAACTCTTCTATTTGCTTGAGGCTCTTTAATTCCCCAAATGAATACAAACCACCTTCATGTCACACCAACCCCAAGCCTCTAACATGACCACACTCTGCTTAGAAAGAGACAACTTGCCACAGACAACTTGGTGCAGCCAACTCACCACGGTCAACTCACCGCAGTCATCTTGCCATGGCCAATTCACTGCAGTCAACTCACCATGGGACAACTTGCTGCAGGACTATTCAACAATTCAATTTAATTATTTAAAATAATGAAAATATTATTTTAGTTTTTGTCATCACATTTCATTTTGCACCTCCTTTAGCACCCTTTCTTTAATGATTCTAATCCATTATTTCTTCAATATTAATGTCCCATGGTGAGTAAACCATGGTGAGCTGTCCCACAGTGAGTTGTCATCAATCCCACTCAACTGCCTCTCTGCTCAAGTTTTATAGCCACCAGCCGCTGGGCTGGCTAGGGAAAGGTCTTAAAGAGACAGGACACCAGTAGCCCAGGTACTGGCCATTTTGCAGGCAAACTGTCTTCTCACAGACTGCCAGGCTACTTCCAGGTGCATTTCAAAGTATTGGTTGGCAGTTTTAAAGTCCTACTATACATGGCGAGATGGTTTGGAGACCACCTGCTACAGTTGGAGACTGTCCATCCAGTAAGAGTTGGGAAGAAGGTTTATTAGATGTCTTTTCTCCATGGGAATGAAAGAATCAGACCTTTTCAAAGATAACTGTCTTCCTGTCACTCACACATACACACACACACACACCCATATCCAGAGTATTTCATCCTTGTTGAGTCATGAAGACATGGCTCTTCAGGAAGCATTTATGGATAACGAGGACTGATCTACTTCTGTTGGATGGCACAGTTGGTTGTGTTGTAATTTAGATGATGGTGATTAATGTTAATTGTTGCTTGATGAAAACCACTCTGAACCATTTGGAATTGAACAGCTCTAGTCAATAATTACCTTTACAGCCAACTCTGACCAGCAAACGCAAGAGAGGTAACAAGATGTCATAGTCTGGTACTGGAGTTCGTGCTGCATTCACCAATGCCTGCAAAAGGGCTTCGCTACCCCCTTTGCTAATAGTATACTGGACCCTCCTGTTTGTCCCTGGAGAAAGGAAAAGACAGTTATAAAGTACTACATACTCAGTGTGTTGATTCTAAGCAAGTCAGGTTTACTTTGCACACTTATATATGGGATTATTTTTTTCACACCCAGTGGAATGTGCCACCTGGTAAGAATGGTGTTCAGTGCAAGAATTGCCTAACCTTCTTATCCTCCAGATGACTTTGACTTTGGTTTCCAAGCTACCACAATGGGTTTGCACTTGTTACCTGGGAATTCTAGAAATTGAAACCCAAGAACTCCTGACATAGCAGGATGGACAGAGCTGATAGATTCCAAAGGAGAAGGTACAGTGATGCTCAGAAACTTTTCTCTTTTTTTTTTTTTTTTTTTTGATGGTGCCTTCAAGTCAACTTCTGACTGCTAGTTGGACAAGTCCCTGCTTCTTTTCTTGGCTTTTAGAAGTGGTTTGCCATTGCCTCTTCCCTAGGGGTAAGAAAGAAGGACTAGCCCAAGGTGACCCAGCTGGCTTCATGCCAAAGGGTGAGGTGGGGTGCAGGTCATACTAGAATTCATGGGCTTGCTGGCTCTAGCCTGGTGCCTTTAACCACTACACCAAACAGCCCAAAAACTTAGATCATTCTAAAAGCCAAAGAAGACAATCCAACTGAATATTCTGCCAATTTAGGGAAAGGACATTTTTTAGTACATGTAGGATTAGGGGTTGTGATCAGGGTGGAAAAAGTAACTGAGTAAATAACTCCCTTTGCACAATTTTCCTTCATGCTCTAAACTGCATTAGGCACCCTTGACAATTCTTTTTCCAGCAGCTGCTTTTCTTTTTTCTTTTTAAAATAGATTTTATTAAGTTTCCAAATTTTAAAAACATAAAATAAAATTTTATACATTGTTATCAACATCAAGACATCTTTTGCATCTCCTCACATTTTTCAGTATATGTATTTACCTATTCCTTTACCATTACATCTTACTCTTACTATAAATCAATATCTTTTATCCTTACATCTCAATCTTCTCCATGGTATATTTACATATTTACATATTTACATATTCCCTCATTCTTTTCCTAATTGCCATTTTATTTTATTTTTATTTCTAAACCACTCATACCTGGCATCCCAGGCCCTATGATAAATTGAATCTTCTCTGTCTTTTATTTTCATCGTTAGCCTGTCCATCTCTATACAATCTATTATTATTTTTTATAACCATGCCTTCTGATGGAACCCTTTTTTCCTTCCAGAGTTGTGCATACAAAATCCTTGCAGCTGTTAATATATGTAACATAATATATCTATCTGTTTTATTGCATTTTTGTGTTATTATACCTAATAAAAAAGTTTCCGGATTAAATTTGAATTTTCTGATTCGTGATTTCTTCTATCCATTGTCTAATTGTATTCCAATATTTTTTCACTTCCTGGCATGTCCACCAGGTATGAAAATAAGTGCCTTTTTTTTCACATTTCCAACAATTTGGGTCTGAGTTAAACATTTTTGCCAATCTAGCAGGAGGAAGGTGCCATCTGTAGAACAAATTTTTATTGATTTTCCTTGTATGCTGTGGATGTAATTAGTTTGTAATTTGATCCCCACATTCTCTCCCAATTTTCCATGTCTATATTGTGGCCAACATTTTTCGCCCATAGCACCATCGTCTCTTTGACCACCTTCTCTTCCATTTTAAAATCTAGTAGAAAGTTATATATTCTTGAAATCATTTTCTTTTCCATTTCTTGTAGAATTTTACCTAATTGATGTTTTTCCATGCAGAAACCAAATTGTTCTTTCTGATATCTCGCCTGAATTTGCATGTACGGCCACCTATCTATCTTTATATTTTGTTGCTGTAATTCTTGTCTCGTTTTTAATCTTCCTTGTGTGTCTAATAGGTCTTTGTAATTCCTCTTTTTCCCCAGATCCATTGCATTTGGGGAGAGAGAGAGAGAGAGAGAGAGAGAGAAAGAGGAATTAAATAAAATGAAAAGACATCTCTCTGTCTCTCTGTCCCTATCATCTGTCTATCTATCTATTTAATGTAAATAATGTGTTTCATATTACAGTGTAAAAAGTGTGGGTTGAAAACCATAGCTTAATATTATCCAATTGTATTTCTAGAGATTAGTACATTGGGATGTACTTTCTAATATAAGATTTTTCATCTTAAATCCTACAATAGAATATTTAATTTTCCACTTACCAACAGAAAGAAGATTTGTGAGAATACTAAGGGTATTCAGAATCACGTCTTTGTCATGGGAACTCTGCAATATAAACACAATCCTTCATAAACATTATTTTGCTTTTACAATGTATTGTATTCTTTTATAAAAAGGAATCCCACTCGTTAAAAGGGTTTTAGGCACTCTAGAGGTGAGATGGGCTTGACAAGAGCTCCAGAGAGAATAGACCAATTGTCTGTGTCTGCATAAACACAGGCTGCCTGAGCTTCCATTTTTTAAACATGTGATCATGGTGCAATTAGAGATCCTTTTTGCTATTGTTGCTCTAAGCTGGAACTTCAGCAGGAGATCAAAAGTACAAAAACAAAAACACAACCCGAGGCACTTTGAAGAGGAGTTTAAGACAAATGGATTTATGATAGCATAAGCTTTCAAGAGACAGAGTCTACTTGCTGGAGAAATGAAGAGTTGTTTTAAGTTAATAGGTACAAACGAATGAGGTAAAAGGTAAAATTAATGCAGTAAGATAAGAATTGAGGAAAATACAGATAATTGCATGATGCTTAGGTAAAATGATTACTTGAAATGAACATACACCAAACACTCTGGCCCTGGCACTGGAGAATTAATAGTACTGATACGAATTTTTTTACAAGCAATAATGACTAATGCATGTTAACAAGGTGATTTGTTTGGATTTGACTTATCTTTTCATGTGAAACTAGCTAAAGTGGTTTGTGTCATTCAACAAGCAGTTCAAAAAACTAAACAGTGTTGCACCTGTGAGTATTTGGATGGGGGATCATTTGTTATTTATTTATATCTACCTTTATTATTTTTACAAATAACTCAAGGAAGGGAACATATTCAACACACCTTCATCCTCCTATTTTCCCCAGAACAACCACCCTGTGGGCTGAGAAAGTGTGACTGGCTCAAGCTCACCAAGCCAACTTTCATGGCTCACTGTCAAATCACTGTCTCCTGGTGATTGGCTCAAAGTCACCCAGCCAGCTTTGGTGCCTAAGGCAGGATTGAACCCACAGTCTCCTGTCTCAAAGATGCTTGTCAACTCTGAAGCTGGCCTGATTTTTTCTTCAAAAGGCAACTGGACTGTTGTTGTTTTTTCCTTGAGGAAGACGTTGCCTTTTAAAGAAAAAAGCACCTTTGATACAACTGTGACCTGGATTATTGAGAAACTCCACAGTTACAGTTTCTATCTGGTGCCTTAACCATCAGACCAAATTGGATCTTGGAAGTTCAATTGTCCCCATTTAATCGTACCTATTTTCTGTATTCTTACTCATGTTTATACTTATACCTATTATTTTGTAAGTGATTGACAAATTAAAAAATAAATAAATAAATAAATAAAATATATGCTGGCCCCATCAAATCACTTCTAAATCATGTCCAAAAAACCCTACCCCTGCATAAGTGAAGTCAAATTTGACTTGAAACAGACTTTATTTTCTGCCATGGTTAACTTAGCATGTAATATAAACCTAGCCAATTTTAGCTTGCTCAATAAAACGTGATAAATCACAACACAGCACAATGTGTGGATCAGAAAATAGGAGGGGGAAAACAGCAAAGTCTCAGAATTAACTTTGATGTTCCCCAAGAAAGATCATGGATTAAACTTCTATTTATAATTAAGAGAAGTGCTGCTTTGCATGTCACCCAGGGACTTCCAAATTAACTCTCCCAAGGTTGGTGGGTTAAATGCTAGGTGAAAAGTTTAATAGAGCTTACATAAGGCCAGTTTGAAAGGTGTATCTGCCCATTTCTCTTGAGTAACATGCTTGAGTTGATAAACTAATCAGCCGAGCTGAAAAAAATAACCTTGTGTCACCACGTTTTTTTGTTAGCAGCCTGGCAACAGACAAACTGATTGGCACAACATAAACAACTCTGTAAGGAGACTATAAATCAATTAAGATTTTATTGCTGACATCTAAACATGACATCCATCTACCCAGAGAGAAAAAGGTTACATTACACCAGTACACCTAGACATACAAACTAATCTGCCCTCTGATTGCTTTGGGCAGTTCATCATCAAAGATCTCATTCCAATTCACCCTGAATCTTGGAAGACAGGACACTTCAACTCCCTGATAATCCCCAAATAATATAATCTGCTCCTGAAGATCTCAAACCACCCCAGAACCTTCCAGACCAGCTTTCTTAAGCTGGTCATCTTCTAGATCTGTGAATGTCAGCCCCCAAAATTTCCCAGCCAGAATGCCTATTGCTGACAATTCTAGAATTGAAATCTATGCATCTGAAATACACAACAAAGCTGGGTAGGGCTGTTCTAGATGTAGTCACAGAGAAAACTCCTTCTGAGAGAGATCAGTTTTCAGAACCTGAGGAAGAGAAAACTCAATCACCCTGTCAACTCTCTAAGGTCACTCAGCCTCAATAAATGTTTCTATTTCTGCTGCATTTTACAGTGGTGGGTTTCATTTAAGCACGACATTGAAAAATCTATTGTGAATTGGTTCATGCTAAGCCATAAACTGTGGATTACAAACAATGACTAGGTTCACATCTCATTCACAGCCAAATCCAAAATCATACTAATTCTGTAGCCCAGCTTCCTATTTTGTCCTTGATGGGTACTCTTAAAATCAAAGAAACTTGGAGATGAGCTTTGGCCCAACCCATTGTTGAGCAAAGGAATCCAAATTAAAACATTCCTAGCTGATAGCATTTTCTTTTTAAAAATAATAGTTGCACTGCCAAATAGCTTTTAATTATTGGGTACTTTTCCTTAATATTTAACCAGGGTCTGCCTTCCTCTAACTGAAGCCTTTGCATGCTTATAGATTTCTAGATGATGCCTCCTCAGATACTTGAAAAGTATCATCATATCAATCATTGTCTGAAAGGCTAAATCAATATCTCCTCTTAAGACTTAGTTTCTAAACCCTTCATTATTCCCAGCTCTTGTTCCTCATGCCCAGTTTGATGTTCCTGTTAATTTAACCACTGCAGGTTTCAAAACTGCAGGTTTCAATACTTGAATGAGGTCATGTTTATGGTAAAGTAAAAAAGGGGGAACAAGGCAACACATAATTTCAACCTTCTATCAAGAGGTGGAGTCAATGGGAGGGACAAGTCACAGAATACATGGTTTCTAAGCAAGCATTTGAAATTACATCTTCCTTCAGCCCTTCTACATCACTTTCTTGCCAATATCACTGTTCTGATATGGCTGACCCTGCACCTTGTTCCAGCAGACTCAAATGTGTGTAGCAGACTGGAACATCCCAGATGTCAAGACAGCTTTATTAGCACCAGATATAAAGTCACAAAAGGGTCAAACAGCAAATATTAGGCAGCACTGTGGAGTCAGCATCAAGGACAGGAAATTGTTGTTGCAAGAGAAAGTTAGCAAGCTTCAATGACATACTACATCCACTCCTTGGAGAGAGAGGGAGGGAGGGAGAGACAGGTGTTGGTGTGTGTGTGTGAGTGTGTGTGGTTACTATTGCAAAAATTCCATTATTCATTATCTACTGATTGTCGGGATCCAGTTCAATCCTAAATACCTTAGTTGTCTTCCATAGAGAACTCTTTGTAATATTTCACTTGTACAAATTGACCTAAGGCATTTCTAGTGACAAGGCTTCCCTTCTTGGTAGTGTTCAGCTTCCTCTTGCCTCTCCTGGAGAGAGGATGAGAAGGCTGTCCCCTCCCCATATCGTATGGGGCTCATGATTCCTAAGAGCTTGCTCCTTCTCAAAGAATTCTCAATCTTTTCTCTGAAGATGGCCTTTCTACTTTATACAAACACTATAGTTCCTCACAATAGGATAAGGCAAATCGCATCTTCCATGTATCTTCTCAGTGCTTGGAGTGGCCTTCACCAATAGCTGTGGTCACTAGTTCTTCAAATCCCTAATTTCTAGATCCAGCAAAATAACTGACAAAGGGCCCACAGATATACACATATACATTTACTTTTTTTTCAGCAAACCCCTGGATTTACACACATCATTACTCACAACCTTAAAACTATGTTTGAATAAAGACCCAGATCACACAGACAGTATTAATTTCAGGGAATAGAGCCAGCCAACATGAATTCACTCGCAATGTACAGTATATTGAAATGTGTGGGGAATATGCTAAAAAGTAATCATGTGTCAAAACAAGACGGATTAAATAAAGAAAATTAGATCCATATGTTGTTTCTTCAGAGAAAAGAAATTATCAAACATTGGGAAGAGGAGGAGAGAAAAAAAAATCCAATTGCCTTTGGACAATGCAACTCTGTTATAATGTTTCCTGAACTTTGGGAGACAGCAAGCAATCTGGCATTGCAGTTTCTTAAATAAATAGGTGAGTGGGTTAGGAAAAAAAATAGCTGTCACTTTATTCAATGGAAGAATACAGTCTTCAGCTAGGAACATTGATGCATGAACCTGGGAAACAGTTGATCAAGATCAGAAACCAGCGGACAGCAGCCAGAATGAATTGCTAAGTGCCATACAGCAAGTCCCAACTGAGTAGAAACCTAACAGACTATCAAAAGGCTGAGGTGATATGGAAATGAATGTGTGACAGACATTGCTGATATCGTAAACCGTCAAAAAGAACAACTATGTAAGTCTCTGTTGGGAAAAAAACCAGAAGCATAGAATCAAAATAAAATAAAATATTATTTATAAAACTTTAGCAAGACCACACCTGGAATACTACATCCAGTTTTGGTCACCATGTTACAAGAAAGACCTTGAGACTTTGGAAAAAGTGCAGAGAAGAGCAACTAGGATGAATAAAAGCCTGGAGATGAAAACATATGAAGAATGGTTGCAGGATTTGAGTAGTCTGGAGAAAAGAAGGAATAGGGGTGACACAATTATCCCAGTTAATTATTCTAGTTTTTAAGGGACTGCCACAAAGAGGAGGGGGTCAATTTATTTTCCAAAGCACCAGAAGGCAAGACAAGAAACAATGGATGGAAACTAATCAAGAACAGAAGCAACCAGGAATTAAGGAGAAACTTCCTAACAGTGAGAACAATTTGTATGGGATAGCAAAATCTATCTATCTATCTATCTATCTATCTATCTATCTATCTATCTATCTATCTATCTATCTATCTATCTATCTATCTACACACTGCTCAAAAAAATAAAGGGAACACTTAAACAACACAATGTAACTCCAAGTCAATCACACTTCTGTGAAATCAAACTGTCCACTTAGGTAGCAACACTGATTGACAATCAATTTCACATGCTGTTGTGCAAATGAAATAGACAACAAGTCGAAAGCATAGGCAGTTAGCAAGACATCCCCAATAAAGGAGTGGTTCTGCAGGTGGTGACCACAGACCACTTCTCAGTTCCTATGCTTTCTGGCTGATGGTTTGGTCACTTTTGAATGCTGGCAGTGCTTTCACTCTAGTGGTAGCATGAGACGGAGTCTACAACCCACACAAGTGGCTCAGGTAATGCAGCTCATCCAGGATGGCACATCAATGCGAGCTGTGGCAAGAAGGTTTGCTGTGTCTGTCAGCATAGTGTCCAGAGCATGGAAGCGCTACCAGGAGACAGGCCAGTACATCAGGAGATGTGGAGGAGGCCATAGGAGGGCAACAACCCAGCATCAGGACCTCTACCTCCACCTTTGTGCAAAGAGGGACAGGAGGAGCACTGCCAGAGCCCTGCAAAATGACCTCCAGTGGGCCACAAATGTGCATGTGGCTACTCAAACAGTCAGAAACAGACTCTATGAGGGTGGTATGAGGGCCCGACGTACACAGGTGGGGGTTGTGCTTACAGCCCAACACCATGCAGGACATTTGGCATTTGCCAGAGAACACCAAGATTGGCAAATTCGCCACTGGTGCCCTGCTCTTCACAGATGAAAGCAGGTTCACACTGAGCACATGTGACAGACATGACAGGGTCTGGAGATGCCATGGAGAATGTTCTGCTGCC